TGATCTCTGTAGAGACTGAATAAAACTGCAAAGCCAATTAAAGTATATTGAAAGTTGGGGCGAGGGTGGAGAGGGGGTGGGTGGAGGTGTATCGCCCCGCCAGTTGGAAAGTATCACTACAGACTATGTGTTCTTGTATGTGTTTATTCATCCCTGTTTTTTACTGTATTCTTTCCTATTTGGGTATCCAGTAATAGACTTTCATTCAACGGACTAAATTTATTGAAGAAATAAACGCTGGCGTCTAACACTTCCAACACGCAAACAGGTTTTTTACATTTTACAAATTAAAGAATTGGTCTGTTGTATCAGATCCATACATTAACACTACCAAAATATGCACAAGATTTAGTTTCCGGTTTGGTGAGATGTTGTTGTTGAATTTGTTGTTGGGATTTAAAATGGACATGTACGCCGTTTAGGCGTCAATGTAAATAGTTTTCTAAAGTACAAGAAACGTACGCAAATCGCATAATTCCTTCCAAACTATCTATCACTAGGAATTTCACTTTCGATTTCTATGCATGTCCTTTCTACATATGACAGAGTCTTAAGAAAAGACGACTCGTCATTTTAATTTTCCAACGTGGATAATTCTAAACACATGGATTTGAAGGTTCAAATTTCGACTGTGAACACTATTACGGATTAGCTTAGCTAAAATATTCCCGTTTTTTTGAGGTACAATGGTCAAACGGATGGCACATCTATCCCTTCAATGCCAACCCTCTAAAAACCTGTGTGTTATAGAAGACTCTAAAGAATCGAAATTAGCCGGAATTGGTGGGTCAAAACATATTGGTCGTCGTCTTAGAAACCAATATACTATGTTGATCAAATCTATCATGTATTCAGATTTCGTATATCCTGGGACCTTGTATTGGCTATACAGTTTAAGATGTCTAGCCGTTTGACTCTTTATAATCACTAACAACATTTCTATTCTAATGATAGCTAATTGAAAGTAGATTAAACATACTCAGTAATACAGTATAAAATGTCAATTAATCTTAAGAATGTCCTGACATGCCGACATGGCACCATCTTCACAATGTCAATGTCACTATTACGAACACTGTCTATAATACCTTGACTGCAATAGCCACTATCACAGACAGTAAACATTATGGCTCATCATTTACAGACTTTTTGTCGAGGATTCTGATTGGCTGTATCCTTATCATATCGCTGCATTTACTAACTTCTGTGATACAAGAAAGGTGGCGATTGCAGTCAAGGTATTAGAGTTCGTAAAAGCTTGACAGTGTGAGGATGACATGGCACTAAACTTGCTGACCTATTATTTCATCTCTTGACTAATTCAGCCTCATATATATGTTTCTGCTTTTAGTACGTGCTATTTTTCTACTACAAATTAGGCTGATTAAGACGGTCAACCATATACGGTGTGCAATGACGGACATTTTATCATAACATTGGTATCATCCAGTCTTTTTCGATTTCTATCTTGTTCTATTCGGTGTATTGTCTCATCCGAGTTTAGAATTTATTTAAAAACTTATCTTCTAGACTTTCACTCAAAGATTCATGCATAATTATAAACGTACATGGATACTGTCAACCACGATAAAATGTAATTAGTTTAGAATCATTTTTTGTCCGCAAAATATACTTAAAGGGACACGTTCACATTCCGTTAGACCAATCACCAATCATACCTTAGTTCCAGAAACGGAGAATTTTTCAGCTAAGTTAATCAGTAGCATTGTTCACAGTTCACTGTCAAAATTTGAGTCTTTAAATTCATGTGTGTCCACTGTCCAGAACTATAGAAAAAGAAAATGACATTAGTAGTTCAAAGTATATTTGAAGGAATTATACTAATCGTGTAGTTCTAGCAATTCTGAAAACTGTTTCCATGTATTGAAAACCAAATCAATCTCAGAAAACGGCAAACCATGGCCTTTAAGGTAAACGCCAAATACAAAGTGATCAACATGTATACCATTCCCTTATCATCCACAGAGGAAGTTCGCTTTAGGGCTGTGGCTTTATAATTGTTTCATCAAACTTCATATTGGCAAGCAATTGTTTCCTTTCATCAAAGTACACCACGCCTAAGGGATTTATAATATAATTCGATTTAATAAAGATGAAACGAAGTAAAAGAACACATATTTGTATTGATTCACACTTGTTTTCTTCACTTGCAGCGTTCGTGACCTTTGTGGCCCCCTCCTTATTAGGGTGCTAATTTTACTAACGGGTGTCAAATGAGAAAACCTATTATTAATGTCAATTATCCGGCTTTACAGTTGAAATATTACTATCTGTTCAAACTCTCAAGATCTCAGCTCGTTTAGCAGTGGTCGTTTGTCTGATGAGACCGATATATAAAACCCTGGGAAATTTACATGGCATGACTTGTGATCATTATGCTAAAAGTCAGTTCTTCTTTAATTGAAAAACAGACGGGTCGTCAGTTCACTGGATGACGATATTAAATTCACACTTTTATCTTCGGTAGAATAATATTGTCTTCCAAAACGGACACTAAGAAATGTTATCTTGAAAAGGCTGAAAGTATGATGGATCAAGGATGTGCGCCGATATACTTGGTTTAATTTGAAATGTCATGTATAGTGCTGAGAAATTCGAGCAAGCGATAATAGTGTATTGATTCAAATTGACAGTTTAATATCAGAAAAAGAAGCCATTTTCCAGAAAATTGTTTTTTCTAATAACAAAACTACTAATTCATTTTATATGTATTCATACAGAAGTTCTTCAAAACCTAGATCTACTGAAACAAAAAAGAAAAGGCCGCGTGACCTAGAATTTGTCCTGAAATTTTGCAAACCACAAAAAATGTAATGGGTAAAGCTGAATGGAAATGAAGTCATCGGTGGTTCTGGAAGTGATGTGTTTAATGGGTCTGTTTACCGTTAGATTTCAAGATAAACTTATAGCCTACTTTCAATATCTTGACTTGATTATGGAATATAATTACATAGAAAAACACAGTGAAACCTGAATATTGTTCTTTAGCGGTGTCTATATTCCTCCGTCATTCTCCGACCACTCCGACAGCTCATTTTGAGACTTGAACTGAAAAATACTTGTTCATGACGCTGACTGCAATAAAAAGTTGATATGTTCTTATGTGATATGAGTGTCTTTAATCCTCCGATATATCCAACGATTCCTTATTTTATCAAGGGTTTTAGATGAAAGGCTTTGTTTGGTTAAAATAACATCATTGGGTTGGTAGAAAACTTCATAGATTACAATGTAGACTCAAATATCAGAAAACAAGAAACGAAATTGTAAGCTAATTTCAATTGGACATAGGTCCAAATAATCCGGTAATCGCAGCAATTCCACTTGAATTTCACCAAATTTTAAGTTTTATAAAAGTTATCAGAGTTAATGTAACTTTCCATGTAAAGTCTTCTGTAAATAAATACATACATTAATCTCCCTTGAATTAAAGTTTTCAGGATCTCACGCAAATCAAAGGGACAGATACGCCAATCATACCTTAGTCTCATAAACAGGATTTTTTTTTTACTTAAGCCAATCAATAATAGTGTTCACAGCTTACTGTCAAATTTTGTGTTCAGAATTATCCGCGTTTGAAAGAGACATAGCTATATTTAGAAAAAAAATATTAGAAATAGAAATTCCTAGTTTGAGATACTTTTGAAGAAATTATGCGATTTTCGTACATTTCTAGTTCTTCTGAAGACTATTTACAAATATTCAACATTCAACTCACACCCCGTAAATGGCGCTCTGTCCCTTTACAATGCAAAGGTAACAGTTATGCATAAAATTCGCTATCAGCAAAGGGCAACGTACATTTGTACAGGAGATGTCGGAAATTGGCAATTGCGGTCATAAACTTCGAGTTAACTTTTAAAGTCATCAGGTGAGTTTTCGTAATAGCAGTAACACTGTCAAGGGTCAGTATGCTACATGGTCAAATATATTCAAGTAACTTACAAATAGAATGATTCTAAGAAACCGTAGAAAAAACAGTGTTGAAATGGACAAGGTGGTGTATAATTTATGTAAACAGTCTAACCGAATACAGCACGAGAACCGGTATATCAAAGGTTTCTTGAACAGAGATATAAAATAAGTCTTATTCTATAATTATAACGCAACAGATGACAACGTATAATTTGGAGAATTGTTAAGCGTTATGGGATTTTTTTCGAAAAAAAAATCTAAAATATGTGTTATGCCTTTTTGAACTATTTAATGACTTTTACTGTAAAAGAGCGATAAAAATTGTGGTATATTAGATTCCGATTCACAATCAGAACTTTGTGACTTACCATTAAGAGCGGTATTTATAAATTGTGGTATAAAAAAACACAACGGGATATTAAAACTGAATGCTATTAATATGAACAACTAGCCTTGTTTGTAACCTAGCTTCACAAGATATAAGATTTGTGTCTTGTAATTGGTCGTGAGCATTGTTAGTGATAGTTTTCAATCGATCTAGCCAATATAATCACGTTTTAAAAACGGGTTTCAATCTTATTGTACAGTGTATGTCAAAATTTTAAGCATCTACAAACTTATTTAGGATTTTCGTCTTTGTATTGTACAGTGTATGTTTTTAAAGTTAAAAGCATCTACAAACTTGTTTAAAATTTTCAGCTTTGTATTGTACAGTGTATGTCTTTAAAGTTGAAAGCGTCAACAAACTGGTTTAGGATTTTCAGCTTTGTATTGTACAGTGTATGTCAAAATTTTAAGCATCTACAAACTTGTTTAGGATTTTCAGCTTTGTATTGTACAGTGTATGTCTAACTTTGAAAGCATCAACAAACTGGTTTAGGATTTTCAACTCTGCATTATAGAGTGTATGTCTTCATAGTTCAAAGCAGCAACGAACATATTTAGGATTTTCAACTGTGATTTTGTCGAAACAGATATCCCGAGAACACAAACCAAAAATAATGGAAATATGGGATGAGTTCGATTATTCTGACTACCCTTACCTGAATGATATCAAAGGTTTACCACTTTGGGAGATAGTGGTAAAAGCAGTGTTCTATGGTATCGTGATTATTTTATCGCTTATTGGAAATACGTTGGTTATTTTGGTGATATTTCGGCATAGATGGATGAGAACGACTACAAACTACTATCTGGTCAATTTGGCAGTAGCAGATTTGATGGTGACCGTTTCATGTACATGGGTACACTTAGTTGATGATGTCACAGAAGGATGGGTACTAGGATCATTTTTCTGTACTTTCAACTCATTTGCTCACGGTAAGATTTTTTTTTCTTAATGAAGTATTTTGTCGAACGTAGAACTATCCATATACTTAGGTCCTATGTTCTTTCAAACCGCTTTTTACCACAAGTTATTCTCTAGATCTTAAGGAACTTAAAATAAGCGAAACTGGCTTCCGGAATAGTATCATTCATGATGCTTCGTTGATCGGTGATTAATAAATCGTTACTTGAGAATATGCAGTAAATTTAATGATCACGTGTAAGCTATCTTTCGTTCAGTTATACCCGTAATCCATCATGGCAACGGAACACATCAAATATTATCGCTAATATCGAAGTTTACACCAAAAAAAAAAAAAACAAAAAAAAAAAATATTGAAATACTTTTTTAGTAAGTACCCATTCAGTCGAAGTTGAAGTTTTGTGATTAGGGGAACCATTTTGAATCCTTTGACTGTTGTTTGCTAAAAGCAAAATAAAGTACCGTATCTCATCTTGAGATGTCTGCATAAAAAAAACCCAAACTATTAGCTTAGTCACCTAATAAACCCGAATGATCGGCGAGTCCGTACGGTTTATATGTATTTATTGGTTTCATGAATACCCAAGTACCCTATGTGGTGTTTGCTCTGTTACCCTACTGCAGGGCAGTAACCTCGAGATATACTAAATGGTATAACTTTATTTCATCAACACTGTTTTGTTCAGTTATTTTCCGAATCGAAATATCAATTTGATCTTAAGCTAATATTTGATGCTAGCGGCTTACTCAAGTCAGTACATGCAAACAGTTAATTATCCAATATCAATTTATATTGAAACATACTCTGTTCTTTGAGTTAAAGTTATTATTAAATGAATTAAAATGTTCCCAAGGCGTTTTATATACATTGTGGACACAGATATTGCCAATTCCCGTAAATTGATTGCTTAAAGGGAAAGTTGCTCCTTTACTTTTACCGGGAATATTTTAGCTAAGTCAATCAGTAATAGTTTTCACAGCTCACCGTCGAGATTTGAGTCTTCAAATCCATGTGTGTCGAGAAATATCCGCGTTTGAAAGTTAAAAAGTTGAGTCGTCTTTTCCTGAGACGCTGCCATAATTATATAGTAAAGACATCTATAGAAATAGGAAAAGAAATTCCTACTTTGAGATAGTAATTATCTGCATTTCTAGTACTTTTTACAACCCGCAAATCAAACCTTCAAAAGGGCGCCCTGTTCCTTTAAATCACAAACGACGAAACGATTTTGGATGACAATTACAGATAACTGTATTTGGCTTATTGTAGGTTTCTTTTTATTAGTTTCTATTGCTAGCTATCATACTTTCCAGTTTTTCACAGAGATTATTAAAAGATATCTGTCGGATAACAGAGTGCACTTGTCTTAAGTTACAATGGTCAACATTTTAAAGTAGAAAGTGTTCAAATTCCCACCAATTTTCAAGGTTAATTCTTTGTAAATAAAGCTTTGGAATTCATGTAGTATCGGATGAGAATTTGATCTACAAGATCGGTATTATATATATAATGAAATAGTCAGGAAAAAGTTGATTAACATGAAAAATAGGAAATAATTATGCTCTTTAATTTGTAGCTTAATACCATGCAATTTGGCATTTAGAAATATAATGACAAGCTCGTATCTGTCCGGGTCATCAGTATCAATTCAATTTAACCAACGGATGTATTTCACGATACTTATCTGACAAAATCGACTTAGTATTATGTACCTTTGCAATGTAGACGTATGTTTCCAAGCTATCAGTGATGCAGGTCGAAGTATAGCTGAAAGATGGAAAAGCGTCTAGTCGTGTCTTTATAATCCCTTTAAGCAAAGACGTGTCCTTATCGACCTGTAAACGTCAGATTTCTTGTGTATCGACCTAAGTCTAATTTCCGAAAAGGGAAGAAGCCTAGTGTTTGGGACGATTACTACCTTGTAAGATATGGTTTTTAATTTCATTTATCTAACTTCTACAATTTCTACCATATATCACCTAGCCAGTAAAAGTCCTTCAACTATCAAGAACTCATCATGGTTTTATATAATTAACTAAAGCTGGTAAACGCACATAAAGAAACGGTAGTAAAGAGATATGTTTACAGCCCAAAGTTATCGCATTAAAAGGATATTGGCGAGCAGTAACAATAGGTTAAAGTCTTTAATACGTGAAGATCATGTCCAAGTTATTATGGACACTAGTGTATATTAATTATAAGGTTTCATGTTAATGTCCAATATGTTAACGTATCCGCTTAATCATTCTTACAGTAATCTGAGTTTAAGATTGACCCTTGTATTGATACTCACCAGTCTAGATTTCTCGAACAGACGAACAACATTACATCTACCTACGTAACAACTCCATTCTATGGCATTTATTGTCTGAGCAAAGTAAAAAGGTTTTTAAATTTTTTCCAATATTTTTATGAGGATTGGAATAACGTTTTTACAGGGACAATTTTTCAGTTAAAGTTGGTGTCTTTTTATCAACGTTATTTATCTGAGACTAACGGTACTATTTTGGTGCTGATGTTCCAATTCTCTTAAATAATGTAAAAAAATATTCAAAAAATAGTCTCAGAAAACTGCTTTTGTATGCACAATTTAGTAAGACAATGCACTTAAGGCACATATTCATTTAGGTACATATTCATTTAGGCACACTCATATTCATGCAGTAAAATCTTTATAACATAACTTATTTGAAACCAAACAAGGAGTGTGCATATAAGTCTAGATGAAGGTCATCTCATCTACACAATGGTCAAGCTAATACGAACTGCAATGGCCGCTTTCCATGTATCGCAATTTTGTTGGATTGTAGCTGAGTGAATACGTCAAAATAGAATCCCGACAGAAAGTCTGCCATGATGTTTACAGCCTTTGTGTTGAGGGCTCTGATCGATTGTATTCGATGGCATACATTCCAATCAATCGTTGCTTTGCGTTATAAAAGAAAGGTGGCTATTGAAGTCAAGGTATAAGACGAATTTCGTAATTGATTGACATTGTGAAGTGCTGTGTCTAAATGACTTGTGCCTAAGATATCTGTGTCTATATGAATACCAGAATACATACTAACACCTGATGCTCTGCTAACAATTGTTACGAAATTGAATCTAATTCTTATAATAGAAGAAACTAATTTTATTAGTTATTTTCATATAATTTCATTAGTGAATCAATTTAATAATTTGTATTTCACAGTTTATTTTATCATTTGATTTAGCTTTTTCCAGGAGCTATGCACCGTGTGCAATTCATATGATTAGAAAGTGACTTGAGAACTGACGTTTTGATTTGTATTGATATTAAATCAAAGTGAAAAGAAATGCTGTAACACAAACTGAATTTTCTGACAATAATTTGTATTCAGTCGTCAAAGTTATGGCAATCAGATGTAAAGAGCGTTTCACGAATGCACAAATTATATTTTATTATATTTCTCCATATTAGGTTTCTTGACTCCCGACTTTTTACTTGAACGATGTTTGAGTTACTGCCTTTGACTTTGCCAATATTCGTCCAATTGAGCCTTTCAGCGCAATGGAGGTTGTTTTGATCCAATTTTGAAGACACTTGGTGAACAAAAATTAATCTCTTATCCGATAACATTGCTACCAAATTGAAAATGTTTCGTTTCGTAGTATGAAATCTGCTATCTTTGAAATAAACGATACCTATTTCAGCGCAAATTTGTATTAGCGGTTGGGGCGGTAGGTCGGTTGGGATTTAACATACACCCGTTTAATAATACATTGCCCATTTTTGCGGGGGTCGGAGGCATTGCATAGATTCGAGCCTAACTTTTTGTATCAAGAAAACATGCTCACGAGAACAGGACTTTAGTCAAGGTCTCAGCGTGATATGTTAACAAGTTGAATTGTATCATTATGTATTGTGTAATTCTGATAGAAGCCTATAGGGTACAGTTTACAAAAACATTAAAGGGATCGTAAAGACGTTTTCTAAATTTGTATGTGTTTCGGAAACACTGATAGCATCAATTTGCACCATTCTAACAGTGTTTGATTTAATCACTAGCCGCAATATACACTTGAATGAGGCCTTCACGATTAATAAAGTCACCAAACACTTAGTTGTAGTGGAAAGTTGGTGCTATCAGAATCTCCAATTCGCATAAAAACTTTAGAAAACCTCTTTACAATACATTTAACTGTAATTTCATCATAATAACGAAAGTAGACACCGTAATCGAGAGGAAAATAAAAAAAGTCTCTTAGTAACTTTTTCATTCTCATTTTTCATTCAGATACTATATTTAAGTAGCTATTAGCATCTTCACCAGTGGCAGAGCCAGGTTGACGTCCGAGAGGGGGCGAAATATCTGAGGTTGCCCGGATGTCTAACCTAGTTATGACAGTCATGCCTGAAAAACTTGCATTCGAGGCGGCGAGGGGGGGGGGGGGGGGGGGGCGGGTATGGCTGCCACTGATCTTCACAATGTCAAGCTATTGTGAACTGTGTCTGATTCTTTGACTGCAATAGCCACCTTTGTTGTATCACGGAAGTTTGTAAAACTCAGACTGTAATCTGAGCTTTGATTAGCTATATTCGCTTGCGTTCAATCCAATCAAATCGCTACATTTACAAACTTCCGTGATACAAGAAAGATTGCTATTTCAGTCAAGATATTAGACGCAGGTCACATAGTCATTATAAATCTAGTACCATCTAGTCTATTGTAAGCTATATGGCGTGCATTGTTTGTGTTTTTGTGATGGTGATATTATATGTATTACTATTTTGAATCTTAAGAAATCCAACAAAACACTAGACATTCATTATTTACAGAGAAATAAAGACGTATTGAACTTAAGGTTTTTTTATTTTTTGAGAAATGAAAAATATACATTATCTTGATTAATTTGTGATCTTTTATCAACTTGTTGTTTCGTTAGTAAATGTTAGTGTGTTCTGTGTCTTGTATGAAAATATCAAAATGCCATTCAAAACACCTTGCTCATTTTTTCTGATTTTCTTGTATATAAATCAC